CCTCCCCCCAAAGTTTAGAGCAAATAAGCACCACAAAACTTATATTTTATAAATACTTATTATTTAATGAATAAAATCCGCTTACCTTGAGTCGCTTATAATTTTTCAATGGCGAGATATTCAAAGCTCGCCATTTTTTTCGGTGTGTGATTTCATAAGTGAGCCACTGTATATCAACATATACAGAAAACCTCCCTAAGTGCACCCTCTATAAATGCACACACTATATACTTCCTCCCTAAATGCACGCTATGGCTCAGTCCCAAACTTATAAGATCTCTAATTATTTACTCTCTATAAATGCACACCCCCTCTAAATGCACACTCTGTCTTTTTTTAATATGGTCCCAAGAGGGTGTACTTAGAGGTTTCTCTGTACTGATCGATTATATGTGCTCTCGGTAAGATGATAAAATGGTTTAAAGAGAGATTTTATTAAAATTACATTTTCGGGAAAAATTGTCCCGAATTTAAGCACCACCCCTCAAAATCCGCTTCAAAAAGTGGTACTTATTTCCGGGACTATACAGTGCATGTTTACAGTCAGAGCCCCTGACTGTATAATAATAATACCTTTTTCTCCTTTTATACTTGAACTCAAAATTCTGAAGCGTGTAATAATAATGTTTATGGTAAGTCATCTATCTACAATAAAATATTAGAAAGTAAATCCGTAAATACACTCGATACCCAAAAGTCTCCGGACACTTTAAAATGCGAATATTACGCGTTTAACTAGAGTCAGAACTCGATTTACCGATGAATTGGTAATCAAATTTCAAGATATCGCTGGATGCTAATGCTAATAATATAGTGATCTAGGAACAGGAGTCGTTAAATCGAGCTCTGACGACAATGGTTTTGAATTATTTAGGTTCTGCTCATGCAATTTAAAAAAAAATTGTGATTTTTGCAACGATCATCAAGTAATAGCCAATAATACACGATTTTTTGATGGACTTGAGTGAGCAGAACCCAAAATATTATTTAATCGCAAAAATAAGCATTTTAAAAAAACGTCCAGGTATCGAGTGTATTATATGGATTTACCTCCAAACACACTAACGCTAATACGTTTAGATACAGTAACCATATACAGTATGATTATTATTTTCACTAACCTGAATTCGCTTGAACAAACACGAAAAAAAAAATAAATAGCACGAGAATTATTTTCACAAAAAATGTTCAGAAATCGCGTACCATATATTTTCACTTAATCACCACTCATTACCCGGAATATTTGCCGGTGATGGCGAGCAATCGCGAGAAGCAAGGGATTGCTAATTATAAAGATTATTGAGCTTGAGGTAAAATCCATGCACTTGAAAAAGAAACAATCTCATATAGCATTCGTAATCAATAAACACAATTATTCAATGACGAGGTAAACGAATATGGCAGCGTGCAGATAAACTATAAATACTCTTGCGAACTTAAAACACAGAATTAATGCCTTAAAGAGTAAAATAAATAACTAAAGAATACAAAATGAAAATCAGATACTTGAACAGAAAGAGGGAACTCTTAATAAAAGTCGAATTTGAACTTAGATTGTTGAGTCTGAGAAACAATAACCCGAGTCAGAAGAAATGCCTTAAGAAAAAATAAGAATTGAAGCTCAAATTACTTATTAAGAAAGTTATGATCCTTTTATGGGAATTTAGACGTTGAAACAATCATTAAACATGGGAATAAGACAAAATAAAATAACTATATATGCTAAAAGCAAACATGCAATCGCAACAAAAAATTCCATCATAAACTCTATCGATTAATGATTAGTTATTGAGGTACAAATTTCGTTGGGGTGTCAATGGTACTTGCTGCTCGGAAAAAAGCAAACAATACTAATTACGAAGCAAGCATTTCTATATGGCTGATTTTTTTTTGAAAGCAAAAAAACAGCTTTATTTACTATTGTCGTTATATTTCGCCCCAAAAATCTCATTCATTTGATTGTCTAGACCGCTCTCGTTCTAAACAAAATTGACGCCAAATCCAGACCGTTCCAGAATTCGAAAAAAATAATAGAAAAGTCTACGTATATGGTGTGTGGTCTTATATCCTTTTTGTTGATGTACAAAAAACCAACATGTATATCGTAATTAATGTATATACTATATATATAATGGTTTTTATTTACAGTAATACAGTAACACTTCTCTTAATGTATACTCAAATGCATTTATAATGTCAGTTCAAAGAGTGTACATTAAGAAAAGTGTGATTGTATTACAATGATTACTCTATATATACTCTTAAAGCTGACATATAATGCATTAAAAGAGCATGCATTTAGAGAAAGTATGACTGTATTACTGTAATTATATATAAATATTTTTAAATTTTAATTTAAGAATTACTGACACCTTATATTACATGTACATGTAATATAAGAAGTATCGCAACTTTCTTTTATTTGACTATTTTGTGTTGAAACAATGAATTCTTTGCTATTGTATAATGATTGTTGACTAAGATTAGGTAATAAGTATATACGGTCAATAATAATAAGCATACCGATGATCATCAAGTAAGTTTCAAATTTCAGTCAAGGCTCGATTTAACGACTATGCGATTTAATAATCGCGCTCAAGTTTGCATTTTAGTCAAGGCTCGAATCGGTAATCAAATTTCAAGGTATTGCTAAAGTACAAAATCGAGAGAATACTAATAGACATCGCAATAATTGAACGCGATTTCAATATAGTGATTTGGGAACAAAAGTTGCTAACTCGCGATTTTATTAAATTGCATAGTCGTTAAATCGAGCCTTGACTGTATTAGCAAAGGATTATCTTCTAAAGCGAGTCCACAACTGGAATATATTTGTTGCTAACCTTTGAATTTTTCGATACATCGAGAATTTATTATAAAAATCGTAAGATCGAGAAAATTTTATTAAAAGTGTTTTGGGTAGGGTAAAATGAGTCTCGTTATAACGAGTAGGTGTATCGTTTATTGAACAATGAGATTGATACATTGGGCAAAACAAAGTCATGTATCTAATTTTGATTGGATCTATTGAACTTTCCATTGGGTCCAGTGGCAACTATTTTGTGTATATTAATCAAAGTCTAGACTCGGTTTGACGTATTACGAGAGAAGGCCCGTGCTTTATCATATTATAGCTATAAAATATAATATAATATAAAAACAATGAGCTTAACTTGGAAATTTAAAATTTTTTGACAAGAAATTCCGATGCAATACAAAAATTAGCTTCAATTTATCATTTCTACATGTATTATATATTTCAAAAACTTATGTAAAATAATGAAATGAACGGCCATATACATACATATACATATGTACGAGGGTGTCCAACATTATGTGATACGCATAATTTGACCAACATAATTGCTTAAAGAGAGCATATTAACGATAGGGGTTAAATAATAAATCAGCATAATCATAAACCAAAAAGATCAATAGATTAAAAATGGTTTCTGCCACTGAGTGCTCGACCAAAAATCCATACATTTTTGTGCGCGTCTGGTCGTAAACTCTTGTGTAAATGTCATAGGTAAATTCCCATATACCGCGAAAATTTCATTGGAATATAATACACATAATTCGATCAATTTATTGTGATTTCTTTTGAGTAATAATGATGACAAATCTAGACTGATCCATTATTATTGTATATTTATTATGTACATGTACATGCGACGATATTTGCATATTTTTTGACAATCATGTCGCCATTGTTTTTATACTGAATACTTTATAGCGGTATTATTCTATGCAATATACATGTATTTGTGGAGGAATTTTATTCAATTCTTAGATTCGCTCGAGAAATTAATTGAATTCGAATTGTGGGTTGAAACATCCATCCCTACCATTGAACGTAAAAGCTAACAAGTGGTCCGTATCCAATCAAACTTTGACGTATATTAATTTTTCGCTATGACTTGATCACTACTGATATTATAATAATTGGATGATAAAAGCTGATATATGTATCATGAAAACACAGCAGCAGATGTGAATGGAAGAAAGACTAGCAAGAAATAAGGAAAGTGCCAGAAAATGCTAGAATAAAATGTTTGATCCTAATATTTTCGATTCGAGAAAAACATCTTTTCTATTTGTACTTTTATGTCTTTCAAAAAAAATTACATTAGCTTATCTTATGATTGTGATTGTGAAAAAGATGTGCCAGTATGTATAATTAGAATAAAACACAGGCACTTAATAGAAAAGAGACACATATAAATATACAATACTATTTATTAATAATAATATTGTATAAATGTTTCTTTAATGAAGAATAATTTATTTTACCGACAAAACTTCACGTGCTAGAACTATAGACGAAATAATCAGAACGAACATACGTTCTAGATCCAGAAAGTTTCTCGTCCATTGTATTTATTTGTCAAGTTATTAAAAATTAACATAAATAATAGACTATAAGGAAACGAGAGAAACTCAAAAAAATATCCACATTAACTTTCTTTTTTTTTCCAATTATAGTAATTCTAAGTATTTTCTCTCCCAACTACTATCCAAATACTCACCGTATCGTATCGTCTCTTCGAAACAATTCCAAGAGATGATCTTTACCGAATTCCGTTACCGCGACCTCTTTCTCATCTAATAAAAATAATTCTTGTAAATATAGTAATAATAAAATAATAGCCATTATATTGCAATACAGTATAATAATAATAGTAGTATTACATAATACTTTAATATAACTATTAAAAAACCTTGTGAACATTACTTTATTATTCCTTCTTCTTTCTCTTTCTCCTTTCTTTCTTTTTTTCCTTCGAGATTTTCCAAATCACGTAAAGATAAAGAAATTCCACCGCTCTTTATTTTTTATTTCCACAAATATTTTTGATCGTACTCAATCATATTTGAAGTACTTCGCAAAAAATTCTTAATTCAAAGAGAATTATCAAATAACACCTGCAATTAATAAATAGAGAAGTAACCCGACGAAGATTCCCGATTCTTTTCACACGCATATATTTACATTAAACATGCCAAATACAACATACTTTTCCCCAATGGTCAATGTACCACACATAAGACCGGAACAAACTTCCAAAGGATCGTATATAACAGTCCAAGGACTACGAGCGTACACCATTGGACCTCAAGGAAAAAATGCTGTTATAGTGGCACATGATAAGTTTGGCCTCACACCACAAATGGAACAAATTTGTGATATGATTGCTAGTCAGGGTTACCGGGTTATAATGCCATATTTGTTTAAAGATGAATTTCCGTATACTAGAGAGCGAGCATTAAGAGAAAGGTGCTAAAATTTACAATTTTGTTCAACTTGAATCATTAAATGTATGCTAATTACAAGATTACATATAACAGTAGCAAACAATGCTACGAATGGTTCATGAATATCGTATCATCTCCATCAACATTCGATCACATTCACATAACGATGAAGAAAATCTTGACATACCTCCAAAGCCAAGGTTTCGTTCATTTTGGAGTATTTGGCGCGGGCGGTGGCGGAAAATTCGCCTCGATTGCCGCTTCCAAAAGCGACTTATTTAGTGCGGCTGTATTTGTCCATACCCCATGGTTTTCGTTGGCAGATCTAAAGGATATCAAGTGTCCTGTGGCAATTCTCACCTCCGGAGACTTGGAGGACTTGGCGAGTATTTTTTTTGTTTTTTGTTAAAACATCATTGTGTTTCTTTGCTAACGATCGTATGTTTCTCTGTATTTTAGACCCCATCCATAAATTCATTGCAAATGTCTCCATCGTCTACAACCAAACACTTCCCTCGCGTGATGCTACACATGCGGTTCGCAGAAATGAAATACGGATGGGTCGGCTCGTATGGCGAATGGACAAATCCATATATCGCCGAACGTACCACCGAAGCTCTTCGGATTTCTGCCACCTTTTTTCGGGAACATATTGGACTAAAAAAATTTTAAATATGCACCAAAAAGCAATTGTCGAAAGGAAAATATATTAACAAAAAGATACAAGCAAAAATTTGATTCTATAAAAGTTATTCTTTAGGTCTTACTCTTTATTGATTTTCTCTATGGTATGCCAAGCTACAACTACAACTTAATCCTTAATTACTACAGGCTCAAGAACAAGAACATGACATAGCACTAAACAACATCACCAACATAAAGATCTATAATATTAACCCTAACCAAACAAGAAAGAAAAGGCTATGAATATCGTTTTTCACTCTTACTATAAAGTTAAAAATATCGAATATCAAAAATGCATAAATCTATATGATATGCGAGACCAAAAAAAACAATCCTATAAATGCAAATGCATTTCCTTTCATTATAAGAACCAATTTATTTATTTTCAAATAACTTTTTTTTATATATACATGTAATATATATATCGATATATATGTATATATATGTATATATATATATATTCTTTTTATATACTATATATATAGCATTTCTATGACGCGTTTTCAACGCGTTTTATTACTCGTCAGATATTATTTTTACCGTAATTTATTTTTAATTTCAACGTGTTTTTACCGTTCGTTATTTATTTATTTTTGGCTTTATTCTGAAAGGCATCTATTGTATTTCTATACAAATCCAAATTCTTTTTGCTTTTAGAATATCACAACAATATAATGATACAAGGACAAATACTTGAAGCTTATTTGTTTATATCTCATGAGGTGAAACAGAGACAATTTTAATGAAATAACAACTTTGAGTAAAAAATAACTAATACATATATATTATATTGTTGTTACAAGTTTGCTTACTAATTGGGAAATTAGCTTACAAAATTGGAAAAGAAAATTAAACAAGACAAAATAATGATAGGAGATATTTAAGTTTTATATCAATTTTTACTGAAATTGTTATAGTTTAAAGAAAAAATAAAAGTGAGAATAAAGTTTAAAGAAAGAAAATATTGTAATGAATAAGGAAAATACTAAAATAAATAATGTTGTAAGACTTTTATATTAATATCAAATATCTAGAGCTATCAAAATAATTAATAATAAAAACTCTTACTTTGTTCTTTTTACAAAAAAAATATTAATTTCAACAAGTGAAAAATATCAAATGATTTATCAATAATAAAATACTTAGATTAATTTAAAATTCCAAAATAAAAGTATTTTAATAAATTTAATATGATTCATAATCACGTGTTTACAAGTTTTAAAGTATATAATTGAGAAAAAATGATTAATTTTATAAATATTAAATTTTAAAATCTTTATTATATTATTATTTTCAAGTTACAATATATTAAATCAAAATTCAAATATTATTTTTATTTATATATTTTTGTAAATATAAATTTTAATATAATAATTAATAAATAAAAATTCAAAAAAAATAAAAAAGATAAAATAATATTATAAATAATATTCAATAAGTTATTCTTGTTGGTTTTTATATTTTAATTATTTTAAAGATTTTTTGTTTTTTTGATTATTTTTAGAATTTATAACTTTTTTTAAATTAAAAAGATTATTATTATTATTATTATATAATATTATATTATAATAATAAATAAAATTAGATTATTTATTATTTAACAAGGGACTTTTAATATTATTACTAAAATTTTAATATTATTATTAAAATAAGATTATTTAGTAAATTACTTAAAATTGTTTGGAAATTATTATTTAATATTATATTATATATTTTAAATTACAAATAAATTAAATTAAATTAATTAATTAATTGGTATAACTATATTATATAACTAAAATAATATTCTATTATATATATTTCCTATACTATATTAAAAAAAATATAGTAAAATATAATAAAATTAATATTGTTTTTTATATTAAAATTTGTTATTTTATTAATAAATATTTTTTATTTTATATTAAAATTAAAATGATAATTTATATTTTTAATATATATTCTAAAATTTTTAGAATTTTTTTTACTTGTAAATATAGGAAAAAATTTTTTATAATTAAAATTGCAATTTTTTTAATTTTAATTATAAAAAATTTTTTTACATTTACAAATGAAAGAAATTCTAAAAGAATATATATTATCTTTATTTTAGAATAAAAATAAAAAATATTTATTAATAAAATAACAAATTTTAATATAAAAAACAATAACAATTTTATTTATTTTGTTTTTTTCAATTTTTAGTAATATAGTATAAAAATATATATATATTATATTTAAATTTTTTAGATATTTTGCTTTTATATATTTTTAATATTAATATTATAATAATTTTATCAGATTTTTTTATAATAACAATAAAAATATAATAATATCAAAATTTATTAATAAAATATAATATATAATTTTTAATTATATTAAATATTTTTCAGATTTTTTATATTTAATAAATTGAATTATTTGTACTATTAATAGTATATTATAATATATTTTGATAGCAATTCTCTACTAATTTAATATATTATTATATTTTTAAATATTTTTTAATAGTTCTTCAAATATATATAATTATATATAAAAAATTTTATATAATTAAATATTTTTTTATAATTTTATAAAATTTTTTGATAACTTATTTTTGTTCTTGATAACTATTAGTAATTTTATAATTAAAATACTTTTTGTATTATATTATATAAATATAACTAAAATTTTAGTAATAATATATTCTAAAAAATTTTTCTTTTATATAATATAAAGATCTAAATTCAATCTATTAATTTAAAGTTTTTTTAATTATAATGTTAATTAATTTTTATATGTTTTAATTATAAAAAATTAATTAACTTATTTTGTAATTAAAAAAATTTTTCCAGATTAAATATAAAAAATCTAAAATAAATATATATTAAAATATAAATTATTATTTGTATTTTTATATAAAAATAAAAAATATTGATTAAAAACTTTTATATAAAAAATTTATATTTATTGTAATAATTTTCACATACCCTTGTAATTTCTTGTATCATGTCTATTCTTTTTCATATTATGTTTATCATTTCTTGCATAACATGTTAGAAATTAACACAAATCTACATTTAATACTTCTTAATATTTCGCTAATTAGATTAGATGTAAAATATAGATCATATTATTAATTTGGATGCACATTATTTTTAATTACTATTATTTTTATTTGTTCTTTTTCTTTTTCTTTTATTATTTTTAATTCGTATTAATTATTATTTATATTTTATACATATT